CACTGCAGCGGCCTCGCTAAGGTGCTGGCCTGGAGCAGAGGTCCTCGCTGGCCCGTGGGTTCAAGGGCTTCCCGTCACCCTGCTTACAGTCCTCTAGCGAAGCCTGGCCTCCTGGATCGCTCCCTGTGGGGCTGGGGGTGCTGGCAGGCAGGGAGGCCCCGTGGGGCTTCTGCTTGCGGTACATGAGTCCCACTCGTGGCCACTGCTTGTGCCAGCCCCCGTCTTTGCTGGGGAGAGGGTTTGAAGGCACTCACCTCCCTCACCCTGCGCCTGTCCTGTCCTGGCAGGGAGCCCCGATGGACACGAGAGCGGAGCAGAGCGCGTCCTGACCCCTACCCCACGCGGCGGCCTCTGTGCCAGCCCCTGTGACTATGGACGAGTGGAAACCCAACCCCGCCGTCAAGCCTCACAAGAAGCGGAGCTGGTACCTTGCCTGGAAGTACAAGCTGATGAACCAGCGTGCGCTGCGGAAGCTTTGCCAGGTGAGTCACCCGCAGGCCTGCGGTGGATTAGGGAGGATAATCTATAGGGTTTACGAGCTTATGGAGCAGCTGCGTGGGCGGAGGTGGGTCTGCTGGCAGTCCTGGGTGATCTAACGTGCTGGAGAAGCATAACTTGTCCCCCAAAAATCTACCTCCAGTGGCTTTGTGCTCATGTGTGGAAGGGTCTGCCCTGTCTAACAGCTGCTTCCAGCTGCAAATGGACCTGTTGGGTGGCTATGGCAGGAGATAAAATTATCCAGGTGTCCTTGGGAGGGTTTCAGCTAGAAACCTGACCGATTCCTCCCCTCCTGGTTTGGGACCCGTGCCGAGTGCAGCAGGGCTGTGCCTGCAGTGGGAGACCATCCCTGCTGCATTTGGTTTGCAAACCAAGCCTGGTATAATGCACAACAGGTGGACAGAGAAAATAGGGCTGAGTAATGGGATCTCATACCCCAGAGGCAGCTGGTGTCTGGGAAAGCCGCAGGCTTGGTCACTTGTGCTGTAAAATGGCTAATCCTCAGCAGAGCCAGCAGCCTGGGGGGTGTCTGGGGGTGTAAAGACAGGGAGGGCTTGGCCCCATGGCAGCGAGCTGCAGAAAAGGGGCCATTCCTGAGATGAGCAGAGCTCAGTGAAATCTGGCAGTTGGTTTCTGTGGGAGGGAGCAGGGCAGGGTTTTGTGTGTGCCTGGGAGGACGAGGGCTCACGAGGGCTTCCTGGGGAAGGAGACTGCTCAGTCCTGCGTCTCCTGGGGTGCTTGGGAACGGGCCTGGTCGTTCTGGCAGGCATTGCTCATCGTGCTGGGGACAACGGGCTAGAGCCTGTCTGCTGTCGTCTCCTTCATGGCACTGCTGGGGTTTAAAACACAGATGAAAATTGAGCTTAAAATATCTAAACTAGGGCTGCAGCTATGGCATAGCCGGGTCTACAGCAGCTGGGCCTCTTTCAGCAGCTCTGACTGAGCCAGCCTTGCTAGACCTGGCTGCTGGTCCTGCTTGGTGCTGCCCCGTTCCTGGGCGGCGGGGCTGCTCCCCCATGTCACCAGTACTGTCCAGGGTGGGAGGCCTGGGCAGGTTGGTAAGGTGGCCTTGCTGCTGGCCACCAGGCACAGCCTGCTCCTCGCTGCGAGCCCAAGGCTTTGTTCTTGCCTAATCAAAAGTTTTCTGTGCGCAGATCCCAAAAGGTGCTCATAATCCTGAGTCAACAGCAAATCAACAAGCCAAAATGCCATAGTGATGTTTATGTTATCACGTTGTCTACCTGTCGCTCTCTTGTCTTATTGCTGTTTTTCCATCTTCCTCAGTTACTTCTTGAACCAGTTTTGCTGTTGGCAGAGATAGCAGCAACACATACCTTTGAGGGAGTAGCTGGCCAGGTAGGGCGGGGATCCTTTTAGTGCCTCTCACCAAGGGCAGGCCTGTGTGTGATCTCAACCCCATACCAGACCTCAGAGAATCAAGGGTCCTAGAGCTGAAAAAGGCACAGATTTTTAGGAAGCAAGCTGTTGGGGAGTTGAGGGGCAAAGGAAGAGTCTCAAAACCACCCAAGACCTGTCTTAGCATCCCTTGCGGGAGGACCAGGCTATGAGCAGCCTCCACCAACCTCTCCCCTCCTCTCCCTTGGTTGCTGTGACATCTCCACACTGATTCTTGGGATGCCTCAGGGAGGTTAGTATGACCCTGAGCTTTTATGGCTGAAACTGGAAACCATCTGGTACGTCCAAAGCATGGCTGGGCCAAGGCGCCAGAGCTTTTGGGCCATGGGATGAATCTGTCAGCAGCACATAGCAGTCAGATTTGGGCCTCTGCGGTGGCTCTGCTGTGAGCTGGATGGACCCTCGGTGGAGGGTGGTGGTGAAGCCCTGCAGCAGTGTTAGCTTTGGGGGTAATGGCTGCTCAGGGCTTTGTGTCTTAAATCCAATGGCAAAGCCTTCCCTCGCTGCATGACTGTCCTAAATCCAATGGCAAAGCCTTCCCTCGCTGCATGACTGTCCAGGGCAGCTTTTGGGCTCCCTGCTAGAGCCGTTCCTCAGACCTGAGGCAGGGCTGTAGCTGCTGGGCAGGGACTTTGTCCCTGTGCAGAGCCCCATGGCCGCCACATGCTGCTGTCACCGTTCCACCATGAAGAAGCACCTGGGCCCTGGGTTACAAAGCTCCCTGGGTCAAGTAAAGACAAATTCCTTCAGCTGAGGTCTTGTCTTTCAATCCTGCATCCCAGGCCAGCATTGCAGCTCTAAGACTATCCTCTTGGCCATGGCCAGACGTGCTTTTGCAGCTTATACCTGCAAATGGATTATTTCTCAATGGGATGTTTGTGGTCCAAGTCTTCCTGTGTGGCTGTGTCTCAGAAAAGGCCGTTTTAGCATGGAGTAGTTTCTCCTTTACGCTGGGTCCAAATACCAGGAAAAAGACTGAAATTGAGGAAGAGAGGAGCAAGATGCATTTAAGTAAATACAGGTGCTTGTAGAAATGTTGTAGTCTTTTACCCCTCCTTTTGGTCTGGGAGCAACAAGGCCATGGGCAATGGTGATGGTCACATCAGGGGTTCCCGTGGACTCCTCCATAGCCCCTGGACCTTCCCATAGCCCTCTGCGTTGGCATCCACGCGGCTTGCCTTGAAGTTTGCTGCAGACAGTAAGGCTGCGGGCTGTTCTCTGCAGCCTGTGGCTCGGTGCAGTTTCCTGAAGTCAAACCTCAGCTTCTTCCCTTTGCCTTGCTTTAGTCGCACAGCATCTCCCCTCCCTCTGAATACCCTGAATACATCCTCTGGTTGCAGAGGGAGAGATGAGAGTAGTGATGCTACAGGAGAGGCAGAAGTTAAGCTTACCGTGGGAGCTGTTACTCTGAATTAGCAAACTCTTTGCCTGCAGAGACCCTCAACCTTGATGCAATATTTTAGCAGGAATCTGCTCACAGATCTGGAAGCAGGGATACGTTGGAAGTGGGTTAATTCTCACGTATCAAGAAATCGGTGCTCTTCAGCTGATGAAAGCACATCACCCTAAAACTCAGTCATCTGAATTTCTTTCTCTTTGCCTTCCTCCAGAAGAAAGCAGGGGAAATAACAGATGCTTATGATCCCTTTCAAGATCTTGGGGTGCCCTGCAGCCTCTGCCAAGGAGGTGGCCTGATCTTGGGGTTGTTACTTACAAGTTGCTAATGCAAAGCGTCCTGCGTTACAGACGGGTGCTGTCCTTTTCCTGCTTGTGACTGTAATTGTGAACATCAAGCTGATCTTGGACACCAGGAGAGCTGCTTATGAGGAGGAAGAGGAGTCTGCACAGGACTACGGTGAGGGGCAGCATCTTGCATTTCTTTGAAAGCAAGGAAACTGGAGGGAGGGAAGTAATTTCTTTAAGTCAGGGCAAACTTGTGACCAGCTACAGCATGAAAGACGGGTCTGTGCATGTGGGTTTAACAAAAATGAATAGAAAAGGCTGTTCCCATTCCAAGGCTTCAGCATGTTTGGCTGCAGAGGTCTGTGTGGGGATAGCTGGGGCCAGATCTGTTGCCATTTTGGATTTTTCTTACCTGCCATCCCTGTAGATTCTGACCCATGGCTTGTTGGGCTGGGATACCTGGTGGGCATGACCTTCTGGAGGCTTGGCTGGGCTAGCACCAAGCAGGGACAAGCCAGGGGTGCCCTGGCTGTTGAGACTGGGTGTTTCTCCCCTGTAGATGATGAGATGCTGAATGTGGAGGTCCCTAGGCACCCTGTCAGCAACAAGAAGGTCTTGGATGTCGAGGTGTACTCCAGCCGGTCGAAGGTCTACGTAGCTGTGGATGGGACGACAGTAAGTGACGGGTGCTGTCTGTCCCTGTGAGCAGAAGATGGATGGAGCTGATGGGTGAAGCCTCAAGCAGTGGGTGGTGAGAGCACTTCAGTGGCTGGCAAGAAGGTCAGGAGTGGATCCCCCTCCTGCCTAGAGGACTGTGGAGCTGTTGTCCCTTCTACTCTGGCATAAGCAAAGCCAAAATGTCACAGGAGAGAGACTTACCCCTTGTCTGGGGGCTCTGCTGTGCTGAATGGGCAGGGAATAAGGGAATAAGAGGTCTTGGTATATGGTTCTCATCGCTTCTCCACTTGCAGGTCCTGGAAGATGAGGCTCGGGAGCAGGGAAGAGGGATCCACATTATCGTCTTAAATCAGGCTACGGTAAAGCATCCCACGTGTCTGCATTTGTCTTTCTTACTGGGCAGTGTTTGTCCTTGCTCTTTAACTGTTGGGTGCATGAGGCAAAGGGCAGCCAGGAGAGAAGTCCCTGATTGCTTGTTTGCCTGTGGTTTCCAGAGCACAACATGGTCACCCAGAGGGTCCCTGCAGCGTTTCTCTTGTGCTTGCCTAGCTGTCCTTGGGGAGCAGGCAGGAGAGGAGTTGTGAGGTTGGGTAATGCTGTCCCATGGACCTCAATGCACTTCATGTCATGCATGAAGGCGCGAGGGCTGAATTTGCCTGGGGGCTAACTCCCTGACATACCAGAAAAGTAACTCGTCATGTTGTTCAGGGACTGAAGCTTCCAGGATAGATTTCCATAATTCTGCGTGTCCTGGCTGTATAGCATCTAAGATGCATCTGACGTTTAAATACCAACAGGGTCATGTGATGGCCAAGAGGGTCTTTGACACATATTCTCCCCATGAAGATGAAGCCATGGTACTCTTCCTCAACATGGTTGCCCGGGGCCGGATCCTGATCTTCACCATTAAGGTATGTGACCTTAGTGTGAAAAGAAAGAGTCACCTTGAGTCAGGACACCCTAAAGCTCATCTGGGCAGTTGTCTCCTGAATGTCATCAGGCATTCCCAGGGCTAAATGTCACATCCCCACTGGGCTATGCCTCCCTGGCTGGATCCCCTCCCTTGTCCTCTCGTTCCCCCTTGTTACTGCAGATACTGCTGTGTGCCCAGCAAGGCAGGAGAGCAAAAACCAGATGTGTCAGAGCCTGCAGCAAGGAACAAGAGGTTAGGTGGAGAATGGACATGAGGAAACAGAAGGATGTGGTGGGCCCCTTCTGGGTCCCAGTTCCAGGCTTTAGGGGTGGCACTGTGAACTGTGTTGGCTCTGGGCTGCTGTGCGAGCAGCACTGTGCTTCTTCAAGGTTTTGGGTTTAGCTGTGTGAAGTGTTGCTGAACACATGGCCCTGCTTGAAAACAATTTGGTCTCGAGGAAACAGGAGTCTGTGACTCCTTTGACCTCCCTGTGCGTCATGGTGAAGCCACTGGCAGGTTTAGTGGCACAGAGACTGTAGGAACCTGCTCTTGAAGGTGTCTGGCTCAGCTGGTTCAAGGGTAGGAGTGGGCCCTGTACCTCTTTGGTATTGACAGGAGACTTTTCCTTGTCTACATCGGGAGTCAGACCTCAGCTGCAGGGTTGTTCTGTTTTGTTCCAGGATGAAGGCTCCTTTCACCTCAAGGACACAGCCAAGAATGTCCTGAAAAGCTTGGGGAGCCAAGCTGCGCCATTCCTGAGCTGGAGAGATATGTGGACATTTGTGGGGAAGAAGGGAGGTGAGTCTAGCACAGGCTGGGAGAGGGTTCATGGCCCCCTTTTTGGGGAGAAGCCGGGGAAGAGAAACCCAGCCCATCCCCAACACGCTGTATGAGCAGGGAACAAGTCGCAGAGAGCAGGCAACTCTGTTCCTGGGGGTGAGAGAGGGGATGGAGGCAGAGCTCGTCCCTTCAGCAGCTCGCCAGAGGCCGATGAGGAGAAGGTGCCAAGCTGCCACTCTGAGCTACAGCCCCTCGTCATGCCTTGACACAGCGGGGATGGGCCCTTCCAGACAGTCCTGACCCTGTGTCCCTGCTCCAGGGGAAGTATATGGGGAGAAGCACACCAAGTCGCCCGCCCTCTCGACATGGGGTGACCCTGTACTGCTGAAGACAGAAGTTCATCTGACATCTGTGGAAGGTAGGAAGTAAGATCTGCTCTGCGATGCCAGGTATCTCTGGGACATGTCTGCCTGCTGCTCTTGTTTTTGAGTCAAAGCTGTGTGTCTGTTAGCAACATTCCAGGATGGATTTAAGGCTGTTTGAAATGGAGATGGTAACTTTTAAAATGGGGCCAGCTTCCCTTCTTCCTGCTTCCATGGCAATTCCAGGCATGGTTGTTGAGAAAGGTGAGGATGGGGAAGTGGGGACATGGTCTGGCCATTTGTCACCTCTCCAAACCAGGCCTGGTCCAGTCTTTTCTGACTGTTGGCCTTGAACATGGCCCATTGCTGCTCAGAGAGGCCATATGGTGGGGATGGCTTCTGAATGGCTCCTGTGATTATATCTGGCATCCAAAAGTGTTGCTTGTTCATAGTAGTAAGGACTGGCTTGGTGATGGCTGAGCGCAGGGAGAGCCGTCCATGTGGCAGTGCAGCCTGGAGCGCACAAGGTAAGGCCATGAGGATGAGCAGTCTTTTTTCTCCTTGGTGCCTTGGCCCGACGCAGAGCTGACCCGCCGCCGGAAGAGGTTCTGCAGCAAAGTAGAAGGTTACGGCAGTGTCTGCAGCTGCAAAGACCCCACACCCATTGAGTTCAACCCTGATCCCGTGAGTACAGCGGCAGAGTATTCAGGGAAGGCTCCAGGAGGGAGGGCTGGGCTGGACCAGGTGTGTTTGCAGCTCAGATGCAGAGCCCTGTCCTTAAGCTCTAGCTGGGTGGTGAAAACTGCCCCTGGGCAAGCTCTTAACCCTGGCAAAGGTAAGGTGAATACATATGGTCAGGTCATGCTGGGGAAGGGGAGTTCCCTTGCCCTATGTCTGCCCTGAGCTGCCGGGTTACCATGGCTCTAGGGACATCAGTGTAAGCAGCAGAGTCTATATTTGGAGAAGCTATCATGGCCTTTGGGCTGTCCTTGGCACAGTGCTGAAGGATTTGGACGAACGTGTCTGGGTGGATGCAAGTTGGGATTTGGGAGCTGTGTCTGAGGTGGGGTGAAAGGGGAAAGCTGGCAGGGTCTCTAGCAGCGCTGAGTGGAGTCCTAGTTGGTCGGTGTGGTCCTGAGCCAAGGGGTAGGACTGTGCAGCCCTGTTTACCAGCAGGGCCGATCCCTACCCCTTGGGTCCTGCTCTCAGTGGCATAGAATCATAGAATCATTTATGTTGGCATGGCCTCCCCCAGCCCCACTTACACACATTTTTCTCTTCCAGCTCAAGGACAATAAAGTCTTCGATGTGCCTGTAGCTGTTATTGCAGGGAACCGCCCCAACTACCTGTACAGGTAAGCACTTCCAGGGGACACGGCTTCTCTGCTCTGTGCCACAAGACCGGACATGGCCCAAGCCCTCCCCTGCGTCCTGCTGGCAGGATCCAGCCTCCTCCTGGGGTTGCGTGAGCAAGGCGGGCAGACCTGCTTGGACAGATCCCAGGGTCCTTGGCCATGGGAAAAGGAAGAGCCCAAGGGCAGTAGGTCCTGTTCCCTTACCATGCACCCTTTCCCCCACCCCAAGGGATCCATGCCCCTCTGCTGAGCAGCCTGGGCACACTGTGCACTCAGGCCCCTCAATCTCTCCCCAGGATGCTGCGCTCCTTGCTGTCGGCTCAGGGCGTCAATCCACAGATGATCACAGTCTTCATCGATGGGTACTACGAGGTGAGACCACTCCCAGAAGTCCCTGTAGCCAGGTTCTGGGTTCCCCAGCCGAGAGTATGTGGTGCTGGCCCAGTCCTTGGTGGGTGGCAGGCTATGAGCCCCTTCACCCTTCGTCCTGCTGGGGGTCACACTGCTCCTCACCTGCTCCTACGCAAAGTCAGTCAGCTTAGCCAAGCCATGGGTGTGGATAAAGCTGCCTTGGCCTTTCCCAAAGCCCAGATCTTATATCTCCACATCAGAAAGAGGCTGGTGTGCAGGAATGAGGTGGTCATGCTGGGCTCTCCCCATCCCCCTTTCTTGTTGGATGAGTATTGCCAGCCTGGGTGTAACACCGCCTGTCCAGCTCCCTTGCATGAAGGAGAACAAACCAGTCCAGCTGTGCCTGTCCACTCTCAGTAAGAGGTGAAGAGACCCAAAAAGATCTGTTTTCACAAGGCTCGTGAAAGCTATGGCCAGGTAGAGGAGAGCTGGCCCTTTAGAGGGCAAAGACCTTGCTGTCAGCAAAACCTTATAAAGCCCTAGAGGGTCCCACTGCACGTCCTGGCTCTCTGGCAGCAGGATGTGCTTTGGGACAGGCCTTTGACATCCTAGTAGGTCTCAGGAGCTTTCTAGCCCTCATCTCTGCAGCAGCCCATGAAGTATTGTCTCGTTGCCTTGTGATGGAGGTGGGGAAGGGAACAGGCTCATTCACTTCCAGGCCTCTCCCACTGCTGCCAGGTTGTGGGGCTGGGCGAGCTGGTTTGTTTATGCCGGCTCTTACTGCAGCACATCAGAGTGGTTAAAGATAGCAGCATCCATTGCCATGGCAACTGGAGCAGCATCCCTCAGCTACGAGGGGGCAGCCTGGATGCTTGTGCTGCCATGGTGGATATCAGGGGAAGGGGGAACGGTTGGTGCAATGGGAGCTCCTTCTTTCTTTTGTGGCTAGGAGGTGGGATGGAAGTAAGGGGATGGAGAGGGACTTGGTGGGGCCTTTTTGGGGCAGAGATATGTCAGCCCAAATATGGATTACTTCTGACCCCAGTGTTTGGTCAGAGAGGTCTCTTTCTTGGCAACTGTGAGAGAAAATGAAGTTGATTGTGGTCTTGACATTAAGCAGCTAGTAGGTGTTCCTGGCTATACCTGTTTTCTTTCTGCACTGTCCATGGGGGACTGGGGATTTGAGCTTCTCAGATATTCCTGCATACAACTGCAAACTAGCAGGGCTAACAGAAACTTACGGCGATACTTAAGGGCTGAAGGGCCAAGAGGGTTTGGCGAGTTCCTTGCTGTGGGGTCTACAGCACAGCATCATTTTGAGCCTCACTTTCCCCCAAGAGGACAGCCACATGCAAGGGATCCCACAGTCATTTTCTTGTTGTCCCAGAGAGCTGACACTGTTGGAGGGTGGGGAGAATGTATCCAGACCCACACATTTGATGAGCTTTGTACCTTTCCATTGCAGGAGCCGATGGATGTTGTGGAGCTGTTTGGCCTCTCAGGAATCCAGCACACTCCCATCAGCATTAAAAATGCCAGAGTTTCTCAGGTGAGAGACCTTTCCCAAATCCTGGGAGAGTTATTTCCTGGGACCTGGGAGAGCATTTGAGGGAGGCAGGCTTAGCCCTGCATCTGTGCCAGGCTACCCCTCCCTGTGGCCCGGGGATTGATGCTAACATAGGCAACGATCTGTCTTGTCTTGTAGCACTACAAAGCCAGTCTGACTGCGACCTTCAACCTCTTCCCGGTGAGTGAGACCTCTGCTTGCACCCTGTCTAGCTGCTTGCCCATGGGAGCAAGACAGCGCAGGGTTTCCCTGGGAGAGTGGCATCTGTGACCCCCATCTTAAGGGGGCTGGAATTGGTCCTGTGGGGCAGGGAACAGCACAGGCAGGGGACGCTGCTTGCTGTCTCTGCTCTGTCCTGGTCCTATCCTTCTGACATCTCTCCTTGCCCCACAGGATGCTAAATTCGCCGTGGTTCTGGAGGAGGACCTTGACATTTCTGTTGACTTCTTCAGGTAAAGCTGTGGGTCCCTGAGCTGTTTGGGTGGGGCATCTCCTAGAAGCTCTCTGGCTGCTCCGGAGAGGCCAGATCCCTGCCATGCTGTACCTCACCTATCCAAGGTTGAACAGACCCTGGGTAACAGCCATAACTGAGCTCTGCCTGCAGAGAGCCTTGAGTCCACTGTCCTGGCACTCAGTGCAGGATGACTTCGAGGTCTGGGATCTCTTCCTGGTTTGGTTTTTGGGGACACTGATCTATTCTGTACACACACGGTTAGAACTGTCCCATGGCAAGAGGACAGGGGCAGCATCTACCAGGGTTCCAATTCTCTCATAAGGAGGAGGGACCCTGATGGAGCAGGAGACAATATTGTCCCCTCCCCATAGTGAGATGCAGCTTAGCTTGTTTGGGTGCTCCTCCTCTGATCTCATGCCAACATCAGCCATCTCAGCCCAAGAGACAGTCCCAGCAGTAGGGGGTGGCTTGTCCCTTTGCGGAGAATTTGCCTTGGTTTGCCTGGGGTTTGACCTGAGGATGTTTGACCAAGGACTGGACAACTCTTCCCCCAGCTTTCTGAGCCAGTCAATACACCTTTTGGAGGAGGACGAGAGCCTGTACTGCATCTCGGCTTGGAATGACCAGGTGGGTCAGGGAGGACGGTGCAGTAGGGACACCTCTGCACTGTGTTGCTCCCATGTCAGGCTGGGGTCCTAGTTCTGTCTGTAAAGCGGGGTGTCCCCCCATCATCATTCTAGGTGGGTCTGTCTCCCCAGCCCTGAACTGTTCAGAAGTGCCTCTGCAAATCACCATCCTGTCCCTGCCATGTGCTTCCCAGTGGCTGTCCCCTGCTCCCCATGCTGGGAGTCTCTGTGGAGCAAGATGCCTCCTATTTTGACAGGGTAGGGGTGCATTCAGGGTGCTGAATGCTCCCCTTAACATCGCAGGGCTATGAGCACACAGCGGAGGACCCCTCCCTCCTGTACCGTGTGGAGACCATGCCAGGCCTGGGCTGGGTGCTCCGGAAGAGCCTGTACAAGGACGAGCTGGAGCCAAAGTGGCCAACCCCTGAGAAGGTGAGTACCCTAGAGGGACCCTGTCTTCTGCACCCCCATCTCTGCCCATAGCAGTCCCTGATCATCACCCAGTCCCTGTGGGTACAGATCTTGGAGGCCGTGGCTCTCCCTGAGCTTCCACTGGGAAGGATGCCCAAGCATAATGGATTTGGGACAGACAGTAACTTGAGGACCATGTAACCAGCCACAGAGCTGGCTGGAACAGCCCAGGCGGGCTGGGGCCAAAGGGGCTAGAGCTGGTGTAGGGCAGCCAGAAAGGTCCCTGGATGGCCACACTACCAAATAATGTCCCCAAACTTGAGTGTGAGTGGCAGTTTCCCCTCCCCAGCTCTGGGACTGGGACATGTGGATGCGGATGCCCGAGCAGCGGAAGGGCCGGGAGTGCATCATCCCTGACATCTCACGCTCCTACCACTTCGGCATCGTGGGGCTCAACATGAACGGCTACTTTCACGTGAGTGACCTCCCTCAGCCCCCAAGCCCCATCCTGGTGCTGAGCTCTGACTCAGCCACCTTTCCAGGTAAGGGGGATGCTTGAGGTGACCAAGTATTGCTGACTCCTGACTGAACCCCATTTTCCTTCCTTCCTCTCTCTCATCTTCCCAGGAAGCCTATTTCAAGAAGCACAAGTTCAACACAGTTCCGAATGTCCAGCTTAAAAATGTGGAGAGGTGAGTGCTGGTCAGAATGAGGTCTGCATAAAACAGTTGCTTGACCTGACCCTTGTCCCCTTGTGCTGAGGACGTCTCCCTTCCTTCTGGAACAACAGCCATAACCTCCAGCCCCAGCACAGTGGCCTCTGCTGGGAAATCCTTGCGGTGGTTTTTGTGAGCACCACCTGTGCTCCTGGTGGACATGTTGAAGGGTCATGTTTTTGCTGCCACATCCTCCAGGATATGTGGCAGTCCCTGCTCTCCATTCATTGGCTCCAGCCTGCCTTTTTGTATTACACTGGGGCAGTCTTAAGTTTGGATCATCTTGGGATGATCCCTGCTTATCAAACTGTCTGACTCTGCCCTGATCTCTGTGCTCTTTCCTCCTCCAACAGCTTGAGGAAGGATGCCTACGAGACTGAAATTCATCGGCTCCTGGGGTAAGTGCCTGCAGGGAGGTTGGGAGACCTCAGGGCACACTGGGTGAACCAACCAGGACAGAAGAAAGGGTGGAGGTGGCCCTAGTAGCCCCAGCCACTGCTTGCCTGTCTGAAGTACCCTGCAGTAGGAACAGGGAGGAGGTGGGGTCCCCTCTCACTCCCTGTTCTGTTTCCACAGTGAGGCTGAGGTCTTGGACCACAGCAAGAACCCCTGTGAGGACTCCTTTGTGCCTGACACTGAGGGCAGGGTCTACGTCATGTTCATCAGAATGGAGCAGGAAGCAGATTTCACCACCTGGACTCAGCTTGCCAAGGTGAGGCTCCTGACATGGCCCATCCTTGCCCCTACACAGATCTTGGCATCTCTGGGAAACATCTGGCTGTTGTTCTTGGGTTTGTCCGTGGCCTTGGATGCAGCTCAGCAAATGGGTTCTTGCTGCCCTTGGGTGGTAGTTAAGCTTTTGGTGTTTACAGAGGCACTGGGTCATCCAGGGTAGATGCTTGGCTCTAAGTGGAGATAAGTCTTACGACCTCCCTGTGTGCGAGCCCAGGGTCTGAGCTTGTCTGGATGATTCCATTGCTTGCCTGAAGGTGATGGTCAAACCCGCTGTCCTGAGGCAGGAATGGGAGCGGGTTGCCTCTCTTCTCTCACTGATGGTGGCTGGAGGGGTGCTGGCCTGATCAAGGGGCCATCCTCTCTCTGCTGTGTCTCGATGAGGGCAGGGGTGGTGGCTCTTCCCTCTCCAGGGGACACCTGGCTCTGGTGTCTGTCCTTAGGCTCTGATGCCTCTTCCTCCTTCCCCACCATCCTAGTGCCTCCACATCTGGGACCTGGACGTCCGCGGGAACCACAAGGGGCTGTGGCGGCTCTTCCGCAAGAAGAACCACTTCCTCGTGGTGGGGGTCCCTGCCTCCCCCTACTCGTGAGTATCGGGGGCACAGCAACCTGGGTAATTCCCCCTGCCATTCTCATGGCATTGTCCCCTGCCTGGGGCACTGCATCGTCTGCTTCTGTCCCAGCCCAATCCTGGGGCATGCTACCTCTCTTCTGAATCATTGTGGTGGGAGGGAGGACAGGATACATGCCCAGGACTGGAGGATGTCCCAGTGGGAAGGAGATCATGGCAGGGAGGCAGGCAGGGCTGTTGGGAGTTGGGGTCCTGAGGGGGAGACAACCACCCCTGCCTGCTCCCATCCAGCCTCCTCACCGGCAGGTCTAAGAAGCCCTCATCGGTGACACCGATCTACATGGAGCCCCCCGCCAAGGAGGAGGGGGCGGTGGCAGTGCCGGCGGTTGCTGCAGCAGAGCAGACATGAGACTGGTAGCTGGGAAGTGAGGGAGACCAGGAGAAGACGGAGACCTCCACGGTGCAGAGACAGAGTTGGCAACAGTTCTTGGAGGCTAGTGACCGGACATGGACTCCCATTTCAGGCTGCAAAATGAAACCTCGGGCTCCCTCCAGCCCCCTATTGTGGTCTGCCCCTCCTTCGCAGGGTCCTTCCCTGTAGATATGCCACCCCCATCCCAGGAACTTCTTTTTTTTAACACAGACCCTTTACTAATGCTGCTCCCATTGCCCCCTGACTGGGCAAGGCTGGAGGAAGGAGATGCTCAGTTGAGGGCTAGAGGTGGCCTCAAGAAACACCTCTGCTTCCCTTTTTGGCCCCTGAGTCCTGAGAAGGCAGCATGCTCATGTGCAAGTCCTGCAGCCTACCAGCTGGGTGTTATTTATTAACTCTTGCCTGGCTGGCTCCATGCCCAGTGGTGAACGTGGTGGTGAAGAGGGGATCTTCCAGCATTTCTCCTATCTCCTGCACAATGGATGCACCTTGAAGACTGTATGCTGGGTTGGACATCTCCCCGCACACTGGCTTCGCTTCTTAGGCTGCAGCAACTGGTGCAGCCCAACTCTCATAGGCAAAAGGGAATACTGAAGAGGAGCTGAACTTGCTGTGGACACGTAGGGGACACCCCATACCCAGCACGAGGGCAGTCAGATGCCTCTTTCCTTTCTCTGCAGTTCTGGGAGCTGGAGATGACTATAGAAGGAAGTGGACCAGGCTATGTGCTGTGGCTCAGACAGTCCCTACACCCCAAGTTGTGGGAGAGGGGGTGAAAGTGCCTTGCAGAGTGGGATGGAAGCAGCTAGTGGGCATACCCCAGCTGCAGGAGCAGGATCGACCGGGGTCTTCTGGAGCGAGAGATGCTGTGCTCTGGTGTGGTCCCTGCCTGTACCCTGTCTCTCCCTCCTCCCTGGCCAGGTAGCCCCGTCTCTTGCTGAAGGCAGAGGGGGTTTGTTCTCCTGAATCCCCACCCTTACCATGGTACGTTACTATCAGAGAAGCTGTGAGCTGAGCCGGGATGGGCAGCCTGGCTCTCCTGCTGTGGTACACCCCTCATGCAGAGGGAGAGGGAGGGGGTCCCTATCCCCCCTCCTGTGCCTTCGGAAGGACCCTAGGGCACCCTCCCACCCCCAGCCACTTGGTACTAATGCTCCCCTGCACTGAGGGCAGTCCTGGTCCCCTTGCTCAGTGCACCTCCCTGTCTCATCCATGCAGTGAGAGAGCCATTTTCTGCCCAGGTTCCCCAGCCTCTAGCAGGGATGTTACACTCTGGCTTGCTCTTGAGAGGAGGATTTGCTGCTCAGCCCTTTTCCTGTGGTCAGAGGGGCTCTTCCCCTTCATTTTCTCACTGTGAACTGAGTGTCGGGGTCTACACTAGATCTACACTAGACTAACTTATTTATTTATTGCTTGTGGGAAGGGGAGGATAGCAGGAAAGCAGCGTGGAGAGCTGGCAGCCCCCAGCCTGCATGGGGGCAGTCATGGGAGGTTTGTCTCTTTGTCTTCCTGGCTCCATCCTCTGTTTCCCTCCTTCCTCCCTTGCCCAGTGTAGGAATGAATAGTTGTGAACCTGGGAAATCTTTGGCCAAAATGAGTCCTGTGCAGTCACAACCCGGCTCTAGCATGACTGCAGGGACTCTGACCCTCGCTGTCCCTTGTATGCCTGTCCCAGGGAGCAGCAGGGACATGCTGCTCAGCATCCCCCCCAGCAGCAGGGACGGAATGGATGCAGGAGGGGAACAAGAGGGTGCAGGGTGGCTTGAGACTGTGGTACCGGGCTGGGGTTCAACCCTGCCCTCCTCTGCCACCCGCAGCGCTGCCCTTTGCTGGGACTCTGCTCCGGCAGTCAGTGGGCAGGCAGCCCCTCTGCGCCGGTCCTTGGGGGTAAAGCAGGTCCTTTCAGCGCGATGGGAAAGGGACTCGGCTTCTTCCCGGGGAAAGCAGCTCGCTTCCCCATACCCTGCTTTGGAAAAACTTCCACAACTCTCCACTCTCATGCCCTTTCCTTGGCATCTCTGTTCCCAAGACCCTGTTTCCCTTCTCCCTGAAACTAAATGCACTCCCTTTCCCTTCTTCTCTGGCAGGGTTCAGGCTTGGCTTCTTCCTAGCTCCTGCTGGGGCTGGGGGAGGTGGTCCTATGGCTAGGGAATGGCTAAAAGCGAGTTCCCCTCTCTCATGCCTGCCCTGCAGCGACCTGGGGCCTTGGCTTCCTGCTCTCAGCGACAGCAGGACTTAACTGGAGGGCCTCAAGCTCCCCTCTCTCCACACACTGCAGTGGGCCCACTGGATGCTGTTCTCCGTCCTTCCCCGTTCCTCCAGCAAGGCTCTGATGTGGTGGCCGTGGTAGGGCTGGGTGCGTGGGCATCCCCAGGGCTTGCCGCTTTCTGAATCGGATTATTTTTTCAAGAGTAAATGCTACAAAGCTGTTGAGCCTTGTGTCTTTCATGGCTGACCTCATGCGTGGCCCAGGGCTGGGGTCCCCACCTCTGGCCACCTGGCTGGAAGGCACAGCCCCCTGTCCTCTGTGGTGTCTCTGCCTTGTGCAGTGCAGGGCTAGCTGTGGGCTAACAGTGGCCCCAGGCCCTTGCCCTGTGGCTCCCATACCAGCAGAGGTCCTCTGTGCCATGCCATGCCATGCGGTGCTAGAGCAGCAGGCGCAGGTTTGCGACCTGTTTCCTCCTCAAGCTTTATCGCTTTTATCTTCAGTTCAGTAACAGATGGAAACTCTGACCAGCTGCCTGGGGACTCTTGCTTGGTGTAACCAGCCCCCGTGCTCCCCCCAGCACCTCCGGCTGCCGTCCCCTGAGAAATACAGACCTGTGGCCTTCCTCTCCCAGCTTGGTGTCCCCGTGGGGGTCA